CATTTCCAGGAATTATTATATGCCTCGCACCCATGTTGATCAGCTCCTGCACGATGATGCATCAATAATATTCAGTTAAATTAATTTGGCTAGTGTTGAAAAGATTTTGTTTATACATATAATTAGGTAATTTAATTGGATATATATAAATAGTACTTACTCTTGTTGCACTTATTTGAGCTTCTGTTATATAAGACACATAAGTCCGTACTTCTCTAATTGATTTGCCCTGAATCAGTGAGTAGCCCACGTCATTGGCTTCAATATCCCCCAGCAGTATTAGAGAATTTCCCAATCTATTTGCACAGTCTGATCATAGAAATAGAAATACTTAATTAATGAATTATATTATATTTTAGAAGGTCGATCGATTAGCGCACACACACTAGCTAGTACATATATATTTGCACTAATATATATAATTAATTACCTGTTGGCGATGTGCAAACGGATTTTAGGTGTGCTTTAAACCAACTTAGTTGAACGCTAAGAGGAACCGCATACGGTGGAATTTTGACGCCTCTGGATTTGAAAAACGTGTGGTCGAGAACTGGACTTCTTGCTACTGAGAATATGACTCCGTTGCTAGAGCTAGCATTGCTCGACAAAGAGGGAGTTATATGTGGAAATCCAAACTCAGCAGCTGCATAATCAAAATCAATAAGACCATCACCCCAGCGACCAGTTGGCCAACCGGGAAAGGTTCGACCATAAGGCGAACGTGCAGCCGGAAGTGAAGGCCCCCATGGGAGAACTAGAATGGAGTTGCCCACGTCAGTTACTCCATCTCCAAAATGGTACAAATACTCAAACGGACATCTAGTATTTTGGGATGAAGTTGCGCATACAAAAATCATCACAAAAGCACAACTTACTTTGATAAAGTACGAATAATAAGAAATATCCATAATTAATTGATCAATAATAATATGATGTACAACTCTAGCTTCTAGTAGTTGTCGTTCTTGTTGTATTGGCTTATAACTAATTTAATTTGTGCTTTCCAACAATTCCATTCTTTGCATATATATAGGCCAAGGATTAGTGAGTATAGTATATTTGAACANAGTATGTATAAGGCCAGGTCCTTACGTGGTATATCCAATTGCCATTATTTTGACCTTTTCCATCTTCAAAAACCGGCCTTTCTATTTTCCTAAGGAAAGAAACACTCCACACGTAGACGCATGGCATACGAGTATATGTAATTATTACTGAAGATGATATTATTATGGTTATGGAATTATTTTGATCAGTTCTAACTAATTTCGGTAGTGGAGAAATTAAATATATTCTAACTAATTATTCAAATTTAAAGAACCAGAATTCGCTTGACCCAGAAATATGTATACATGCGCGTTTCATAGTCAAAATGTCAAATGAAAGGAATCCTATATATGTAATGTCAGCGGATGGGTTGCAACTTGCAACTTGCAACCAAATGGAGTAAGCGCTCGACTCGAATTTGTTTTGGACTGATTTACAAGGAATCCGTAGTTGGTTGATTTGTACCAGTTAATTACACATTTTTTATTAAATCTTTTTCATCGAGTAACATTTTTTCTACAAAAAACAAAAATATTTATTAATATTGAAAATAATTGACGCAA